TTCAGGGAAGCCGACACTCAGATCAGCGCTCTTCGCGAGAAGGAGAAGGGAGACTGGAAACAGCTCACCATCGATGACAAGAAGAAACGTATACATTATCACATCTATTAGTGCTATTGTCTCTAATTAATGTCTTATTTGATTGTCTATGTATTGCACGCGTGTGTGTCTGTGCGGACACGACTCGTCCGATGCTTGGGTACAGTCTATCGATTCAGTTTCTGCCGGACGTACGCCGAGATGATGGCTCCGACCGGTGAGTGGAAGTCAATCCTCGCCGGAGTGCTGGCGATTGTGACGACCGCTTTGTGGACATATGTGTTGATTAAGAAATTCGGTATATATTTGGATGTGATTTGTATTGCAATGAATGTGTATTAATGTAATGAATGGCTATGTCTGCAGTGTATGCGCCAATGCCTGAGTCCACTTCACTCGAGTGGCGTAAGAAGCAGAGGGATTGGATGGTTCTCTGGAAGGTTAACCCCATTGAAGGCCTTTCCTCCAAATACGACTACGAGAAGAATAGATGGAAGGATTAGAGCAACACTTCTTCCACTTAGAAGTAGTGCTAAGGAATCAATTGATTGTTTGTCTTCACTTTTCTCTCTCTAATGTCCTCTAATTCCTGTATCGATTGCTTTAAGAATTTATTTCCAATTATATTACTATTAAATGTATTGTTATTTTAGTTATTATAAAAATCAGTAGTAAAACGAAACAAAAGGCATTTTTATCGCAAAGACGTTATATTTCACGTAAAGCTCTTAATGTTTGCGATAAGATAAGAGCGAAAACTGCCATTAAATTGCAAAAACTGTAGAAAATGTAAACTCAAATACGAAATGATTTCCAAATAAAGTATATAATTAAATATGAATAGAGTGTGAATTGATTTACAAATGAACGGCAATTAAACAAATAAAGTATTACTTGATTTAAATATATATAAAATAGGTGCAAAAAATCGCTCCGATGCCGGGAATCGAACCCGGGCCTTCTGGGTGAAAGCCAGATATCCTAGCCACTAGACCACATCGGATTGGTTATTTGCTATGGCATGCATTGCTGTGTCTATAGTATATGCCATCCCATGGGCACAGAATTGGTGATTATACTTAATGAATATTCAGCATGTTTTATGTAATCATTACCCGATATACTGTATATGCTATGCATCTGTATATATATTACACTAAATATATGTAATATTTTAATATTCCTATATTTGTGTTCACATAAGCACTGATTAATTGAGAATTGTATGAATAGATGCTGTTTTTGATGGCAAGAATCGTTGTTTATATGACTAGCGATGATATTTGCAACAATTCCTACGCGCAGTACGACTGCTGCGATCGCATACGTGTTGTCGACAACAAATCACTCAAATATTATGCGTTTTTCAATGAATTTGTGAATTTGTTTGTCATTGACTGCGAAAACTCATGTGATTTTGTGTTTCTCGAGAATTCATTAATTAAAAGCAACAGAAAAAAATATTTTATGGGTTTTTGGTGTTGTGTTTATTTAGTGAGTGTGTGTTTCACACAGAGATTTCGCCCACATTTTTGCAAACACTTGTATTTTATGGCAAAATACAGAATAAATGTCAGCCTTTATATGTAATTATTACCCGATATACTGTATATTCTATGCATCTGTATATATATTATACTGAATATATGTAAGATTTTTATATTTCTATATTTGTGTTCACATAAGCACTGATTAATTGAGAATTGTATGAATAGATGCTGTTTTTGATGGCAAGAATCGTTGTTTATATGACTTGTGATGATATTTGCAACAAATGGTACGCGCAGTACGACTGCTGCGATCGCATACGTGTTGTCGACAACAAATCACTCAAATATTATGCGTTTTTCAATGAATTTGTGAATTTGTTTGTCATTGACTGCGAAAAACTCATGTGATTTTGTGTTTCTCGAGAATTCATTAATTAAAAGCAACAGAAAAAATATTTTATGGGTTTTTGGTGTTGTGTTTATTTAGTGAGTGTGTGTTTCACACAGAGATTTCGCCCACATTTTTGCAAACACTTGTATTTTATGGCAAAATACAGAATAAATGTCAGCCTTTTATGAACGCAATACTAGACTCTATTGCATAAGTTTTGTATACTTTTATACAAACAATATTATTATTACAACTATTTGTCGCTTTAATTCTTAACTCTAAATACTTTTAAATAATATATTGAAAGTCGAGAGACCAGAGCTGTCGACGAGTGATATTCAATCCTTTTTCTAAATATTTCGCTTCAATTACAATAAATTAGACTTATTTTTGTAAACACCGAGACTTTTATGTGTAATGAAATATTAGTGTCAATACAAATCACTATATTTTGCAGGAATTGTTTAATTTGAGTCCTTTTAACACTTAATTATTAAATTACTATACGATAAGAGATTTCAGAAATGACATCAAGAATAATCTCAAAACACATTACTATATAAAGTCGTGAATTCTGTATAAATTATATTCTTTTATGGAATATTTTTGTTGTCATCCTTTGGATAATTTTTACATAAAAAATATTTATACAATTAAGTGATAAATTGGTGTTTAATGTATGCATCGATGGGAAGACCTGTGGAAACGGCGGGTGTCGTCGATATTGACAAGAATTGAGTGAATTGAGTGAACCCCTCAATAGTGAATGCGGGGTATATATGGTGTGGTTGTGCCCCCACTTGTGCCCCCACACCAAACACACACCAGCGCTGGTGAGAGGGAAAGCGTCAGTTAAAGTATACACATGTGAGTGACTTTTGCTGGAAGAGCACCAAAACAGCACCAAATGATGCAACGATTGACATCCTTTGCCTCTCGCATACACACCACCGATGCATACATACAGTGGTAGTGGAGAACAGTCTACTACTGCACCACTCCTTTGAGGCGCTCTCAATGGCATTGTATACAGAATTTGTGAGCATATGATTCCTAGTGAGCGCTTCCGATGGTGTGCTGTTCGGTCTGTGTTCAGTGCCTTTACTCTCACAGAACTCTCACAGAACTTATGCCTCTTTCATGTGCTGTTTATTTATTGATATACACAGTGCTATAGATTAACACTTTATTATTGATAATTTTTTATACATAAAAAAAACTTTGATTTATATTATTGTGTTTTTAAGTAAATATTTTTCTAAACTCTATATCGTATTGACTCAATACTATTGAGCGCTCATTTGATCAAAAATAAAGTTTTTAATAAAACGATGAAAATTCTTGAAAATGAGTGACAAAAAGACAAGAGCTTTACGTGAGACGAGTTGTGAGAAGAATGAGGAGAACTCGGATGGGAGTGAAGAGAGGGTTCATTTCAAGCGTCAAATAACACTAATCCATGGCATCGCTATAGTGGTGGGCACTATCATAGGCTCCGGTATATTTGTCAGCCCCAAAGGGGTCTACGAGTTCTCCAACTGTTCACTGGTGGCCAGTCTTGTCATTTGGTCACTTTGTGGCCTCTTCTCGATGTTGGGTTCGCTATGCTATGCAGAGATCGGCACAACAATCACCCGCTCGGGTGGCGATTACGCCTACATATACGAAGGCTTCGGACCCCTATTAGCTTACCTCAACCTATGGGTCAACATAATAATGATCCGACCGACCACTCAGACCATTATGGCCCTGACATTTGCCTATTACACGTTAGGCACGATATACCCCACGGGATGTGATCCGCCAAATGTGGCGATCAAAGCATTGGCTGCTCTGGCGCTCTGTAAGTACCCATCAATTACTTATGTTTTTTGCAGTCAAAGCACAAACATATATAAGAATAATATAAGAGATAATTGAGCGCTTGATTTATACATCCAATTGAGACATTGAATGCGAAGTAACGCTAACTTCATTGAAATCAGTCGATCTCACACACAGTTAGCGATTAAATTAATTTATTTTATTTAATAAAAATTCCGAAAGTCAGTCATTTTTGGCCGCTTTCCCAACAGATATCACATGTTTATAAAGTATGTAATCTCTTGTTTTCATTTACGAACAATTCTTGTATTTTTATTTTGAAAACTAAAACGTTTTTAAATGTATTTTATTGTGTTATGTCAGTCCATCACAAGTGGTTTATGTCACATAAATTAGTTAATTAATAATCTAATAAATTTTGATAATTTTTAATTTGATTAAATTTTTTTCGCTCAATTAACTCATAAATACACAATTTGTCGGAACTTTCTATCAATTTGAGGGCATTTCTGATAATCTTATAATCACTTTCTAAACAAGTCTTTTCCCAAAGAATTGTTTAGATGTTCGCTTATTTCACATATTCATGAAATGTTAGACAATTATTTTGTAAATATATTATAACATATTCACTAATTAATGGAAAAATTGCAATAAACACCTTATTTATAATACAATACTTAATTATTTTTAATATTGCATATATCGCTAATAGATTATATTTTTGTTATTTTAATTAAAATACAATACAATATCCTTTTAGTAAATCATATGACTATACAATTGTAATGCAATTCTGCCTGAATTTATTAGTTTTTAATTAAAAATAAAAATAATGCTTAAATTCATTTTTAACAGTAAATATTGAATATATTTGTCGTCATAATATTTTTTAGATAAATATTGAATTCATATGATTTGTTACAAAAAACATTTTATTGCATTTTATATTTTTCACATAAAAATAATGATTTTCAGTCACATTCATTTACAGCGAATGTAAACAAAATTAATTTTAAATTGTGATAAAACCATTAACTTGCTCCGGGATTTTAGTATATTATATATGTATTTAATATTTAAATCGTTTTGAAATGATCATGGAAAAGTGAAAAATTAATTTTCATCGAGGTTATACTACAAAACTAATCGATTTATAGTGAGTTTGCAATATTTATTCCAACAATTCATTTCATTCACATTGGATTTAACACGAGATAAGAAATAGTATTTTATGTAATATTGAACATCTTCTTGGAATAACTTCTTTAAACGAGTTTTTAGGATAACTATATATATATTTAATAAAATTATTTCAACACAATTCAAGACTATTTTAAAGCCTCTATTGAAGTATCGTTTGCGAGAAAAACTCACAATTTCAACAAATTAAATATGTTTTTAAAAGAGTAGAAATACCCTTTCGACACCGTTTTCATTCCCAGACATAAGCAAATAGTAATAAATTATTTGATTTTTAATCTATTCAATGAACTCAATTATCTGCTATATTTGACGGCAATATTCAGACTATTTTTAAAATAAAATATACAAATTATTTATATTTGCTAACATTTTGAAAATACATATTTGTGTAAATATTTGTTGTATCAATAGGTTTGTTAACTTACATCAACTGTTCAAACGTGAAATGGGCTCTAAAAGTACAAAACATATTCACGATATCAAAACTGTTGGCATTAATTGTAATAATAGTGACCGGTTTCTACTTTTTGTTTAAAGGTAGGCATTTCTATTGGACAATAATTATATTGTATCATAATTATATATTACTCAAAAGATTATTAAAGTTCTAAATCTAAAACTTAAAAATTCTAAAAATTGTGTGCATTTATGATATAAGTTATAACTTATAACAAACTAACATTTATTTGTGCTATTTTTCTATTTAAAAATAATAATATATTGAAGATTAATTATTATAAAAATTACAATGAGTTGCAATTACTAAAATTGCAAAATAAAGTTTTAGGGTTAAATTTCTTAATGTCATTTAAATATAAAATATGTATTTATAAAAAAATATAAAACTTTTTACGATAACTTTCATGAGTTGACTCTTATAGAAAGATACAAAATGTCATTTATTATTTGCCACATAAATATTCTGTTTATGAATACAGTAGGAATAAAAAGTAAATTTCTTAACGACAGGTCAATCACAAAATATCACATCGGATGCGTTGGATCCCACATCACACAAAACATGTCATTTAAGTTATTCATCCGCTTTCTATTCAGGCCTATTCGCATTCGGGGGCTGGTATGACGTCCATTACATACCAATCCTACCATTATTATGATATATAACATATTCTTATCAAAATTCTTTAGGAATTATCTCAATTTCGTTACCGAAGAGCTTAAGAATCCCTATAAGTGAGTCACTATTATATACGAGAATATTCTTGTGAATTGATTTATTCGTAAAATATTTCTCATTATATTGTCGCAGAAACCTTCCGAAAGCAGCACTCATTGGCATTTTGATTGCAACTTTGGTCTATGTCTTAACAAATATCTCATATTTTGTTATTCTCACCCCCATTGAAGTCCTATATTCTCCAGCCATTGCTATGGTAATCATCCTTTACATCGAGTTATTCTTCATTTCATTTATTGGTTTCATTCAATTAAAGCACGTTTTGCTTTAAAAAGAAATCTTTCGCTAACTATATATGAAACTCAATTTGAAGAGAATAACCGCCTCTCATGTCATGTCATATCAAATCTAATTTCTAACACATATTAGGTCTTCGCTAATAAAGTGCTCGGAATAATCGCACCCATAATGCCTATAGCTGTAGGTCTGTCAGTGTTTGGCAGTGTTAATGGCATTATATTCACATCCGCCCGACTATTTTGTGTCGGCGCTCAACAAAAACAATTGCCCAGTATTTTAGGAATGATTCACATAAATAGGTATTTATTTACTTTAAAAACGCGGCAAATATTTATTAATTACTAAATAATTAGAAAATCAATCAATTGAAATGAATACTAATTGTGCAAATAAATAAAATGCCAGGTCTACGCCTACGCCATCGTTGATATTATCATGTGTATTATCGTTGGCAATGTTGGTCACGTCCGATATATACAGACTCATCAATTATTTCAGTTTCACCAATTGGTTTGTCACAGGAGTGGCTGTCGC